TTTTAAATTTTTTATGTTCTTGTTTGTGTTAATTTTTTTTATAACATTTATAATATTTCTTCAGTTGCCATTGTAATACTTGTTGGTTTTACACAAACAATAAGTTTATTATTATTATTATTATTAATTGCTATGTCTTAAATTAAAAGCATTGTAAGAGACAACATTGAGTAAATAGATATGCTGAAAGAATGTCTACAATACTGATGGGAAGTTAAATTTATACTAGTCTTGACAAGAGTCCTTGTTCAAGGAGCAGTGACAGTATCCATCTTCCCTGCAATCCTTCCTGTTGTCAAGTCACATTATCATTGCATTATTATAACATTATTTAATTAATTGTTTGTTTTTTAAGTAAAATAATTCATTACACACTTAGTAAAAGAATAGTATGCAAGATTAATATTACCTTCTTTTAGCTGGAAACCTCCACGAAGTGTTGCAGTTGATTAATAGCTTCATTTGCTTGCTTCTTCCAGAGCTGCAGATCTGAGCATGCGCGACCACACCCAAATTTTGGAGCACATGCTTCTTTAATTAATAAACTGGTGGCATGCAGCTAAGATGAGCCTGATCCAGCAGTGACAGTACAACTTCTTTCTTTGTTGGAGAATTGTCATAAAGAATAGGGACCTGCGCATGCATTATTGGAGTAGAATGGCGTAAGAATTAGCCTTCTATCACCAAGCAAAGTTGAGATACAGACCGACAACTGGATTGACAGGACTTGATGATGATGATGATGAAGATGAAGATGAAAAAAGGTGGCTGAACAAAACGGCCGTTTTCCGGATTTTTGACTTTTCTCTCAGACAAGGTTTAGAGCCACACTAGTGGTACCAATGGAGTCCTCTGGTCAAGATAAGGTCCTCTATAAAGTCTGGTAAGCATAGGAGCTCGTTTTCCCGGTATAGCAAGGCTGCAAAAGTCGTGGCAGCCATTTTGAAGTGGGGTGAATCCTACTTAGTAACGCTACTGCGTTACTAATAGTACAGGGACTTTTATCCGATTTTAAAGTAACTTTAAAAATTCATAAAAAAATCCAAATTTGATCGGAATCAGCTCAAACTTTCTACGCAACATAAGTACATGTACCGTAAATCCTTAAATAGAAGCCGCATTCGAATAAACGCCGGGGTAGCAATAGAATTAAACTATAAATACGGAACGTTACCTTGGGACATAGGCGGCTGCAGGCCTAGGCATTGGGGGGCAATGCCTAGGTTAAAAATTGAACCGGAAACAGGAAGCAACGTCATCATTATTAATTAATTAATTACAATTAATAAATTTTACAATAATATTATCTTTAATTATTAATATTATGGCTACTAAGCGGCAGGCTTCCTTACTTTCCTTTATTAACAAGCCATCTAAGAAAAGATGTGATGAGACTGTAGATAATACCAGTAAGTAAAGCAAGTATTGTTAAACCTGTAAAAGTAAACACTTAATAACTTGACAAAATTTTTAATTAATTATAGATAGTGATGTTAATTGTGATGACAGTAATCTGGAGTCAGAGGAATCAATTTCTACAGATACAGAAGTGTTGTCTACTTCACAGTTACTTAGGAATACTCAGCCGACAGGTTCTACTTCTAGTTCTAATTCTTCACTTCCAGATGATATAGCAAAAGATAACAAATCCAGTCTAGTACAACCAGAAGGAAAATTTCCTTCCAAACGATATGGAAGTGTGAATAGGTCCTTTCAATCCAGCTGGTATAAGGACTACCCCTGGCTTGAATATTCTGTATCAAAGGATTGTAT